AAATATTATAATCACTTAATATTATTAAAGGTAAAAAAATAAAATTGAAATTTATTAGATAATTATTAATTAAAAAATGTGACCACAAATTAAAAAATTAAAATGAATAAATTTGTTAATAAAATTAAAAAATTTTAATCCGTTAGCGGTTTGGTACAAAAAGTTACATAAACTAGTTTTTTCAATCCACTAGCGATTTGAACTCTAACTGTTATCCGCTAGTCTCAAACTACTTAATAAAAATTTTACTAAATACTTTATTTGTAGCGATTTCAAAATATATAAATTTATTAAATACTTATATTTAACGGTTTAGATAAAATCACTAATCGGTATCCTAAAATCACTATACCAAACGAGGCCGAAGAGTTATTTTCTCCTTGAAGATGGTAAAAAAATACTTTCCCTTGTCTTATACAATTAATTTAAAGTTATTTTATTTGATTTTTTATTTATCAATTTTATTTGAAATATTTTTATTGTAAGTTAAATTTATTTTTAAAAGTTAATAATACCTCAAATTTGAAAATGAAAACATATTAAGAAATAAATAGCAGGTATTTGTATAATAACGGTAGAAGATTTAATTGCCAAAACTTTTAATAGATACTTAATTATAAAAAATATATATATATCTTGACATGATATTGATAAAGAAAAACGTTGCCAAAAATTATTGGCAACTGAAAAAAGTCCCCGGGTAAGGTACCCTGTCCCATCGGCGCCCACCGCAATTTCTAGGCCAGCTTCCTCTTTGCGGGGAAGTTTTCTAGGAATGGACTTCCTCCACAAATGGGTGTTGAATTTATGTTTCTTACTCTTTTTTTTTTTCAATTTTTGAATTATATATTAAATTTCATTACTTAATGAAGGTATTTGTACTGTATGAGTGACAATTTTTTTCTATTAAAAATAATTGTGCAATTTACACTCCGTTATATTATATAAATTTAATTTTTAAATAAAAATAAATATATTGATATAAAGAGTTATTTTTTATTTAAAATCAAATAAAAAAAAACACTTGTACTCTTTTATTAATATACTTTTTTTTTACCCATCAAAATACGGAAATGGGTCACAACCGGCGTTCCTTTAAACTAAAGGACAACTTTGAGGGTTAGAAAATTCAATTTAAGGAACATTTCATGCCAAAAAAATCGAGGGACCAAAAGTAGAAAATATTGATAAGTGGAAAGACCAAGTACATTAAACCTTTTTACAATTCTGAGTACTGCAGGGACTCATATCTTTAAATTGGTGCTTCCCCTCTGCTGCTCTACCTTCCTGAATTTTGATTCGGCAATCGGAGACGTAAACAAAC